TACTGTTCTCATCGTCGGCGCCGGTCCCTGTGGAATGGCCGCTGCACTCTCGCTGTATCATCAAGGGATCAAGGATGTGATCATTGTGGACGCCGTCGAAGCAGGGGAGAACTCTTCGCGCGCGATGGTGATCCAGGCCGCAACGCTTGAGGTACCTTTCCTCATGCATTGCCCCTGCACTCTTCAGACCGCTCATCCTGACACCAGGCGCTCAACACTATCGACTGCTTCGACTTCATCCTTCCGCATGCGGAAAAGATCACGCGCGTGGACATGCACCAGGGGACATCGGTGCTGCTCACCGCCGACTTCACGCAGCTGGCCGACAAGACGCAGTTCCCGTTCGGGCTGCTCATCCCGCAATCTCAGACGGAGCGCGCCATGCTCGCCAAGTTGATGCAGCTCGGGATCCGCGTCTTCCGGCCCTTGAAGGTCGTCTCGGCGAAGCAATCGGACGACGACGACTCGATGGTGGATGTACGGTTCGAATCCGGGGAGGTTGTGAAGGCGAGATATGTGATCGGCGCGGACGGCGCTCGTTCAGTGGTGCGTCACTCTGGCATGACGTAACATCCCATCAACGCCGCCCTTTCCAAGATACGAGGCGAAGCAGGCATCGGATTCACGGACCCTCAAGGCGACGGGCCGCGTGACTTTGGCGACGTATCTCAGATCGTCTTGGGCGATGTCTCATTCTCGAGCCCCCTCCCGCCGGATACACCCCGCTTCATGCTCAGCGTCGCGAACAGCAACTTCATGCTCGTCTCGCAGTTCCCTGCAGACGCGTACCCGGATGCGACCGGTTCGGTGTACCGCATCGCATGCGGCGTGCCCCAGAGCATGGGCGAAGTGCCCCACGCGCCGGGCATGGATTATCTGCAGAAGGCGATGACCCGGATGGCCCCGGAGCCGCTGCGCGCCGCGCGAATCGACGCCGTGCATTGGTCTTCCCGCTACAAGACACGCTCGGCTATAGCCGACCGCCCATTTGCGCGGCTCCCAGGCGGCGGGGTCGTCGTCCTGGTCGGCGATGCCGCGCACATCCATAGCCCCATCGGCGGGCAGGGCATGAGTCTGGGCATCCGGGATGCGATTAGCCTGGGTCCCATCCTGCGAGCCCACCTCGACGCGCCGGAGGACGACCGCCGGCTTATGGAGTGGGCCCGCTGGCGGCACGAACGGGCTCTCGGAGTGATCAGTTTGACAGAGCACGGGATGCGGTTGATCACTTCGCAGCGCAAACTGTGGTTTCCCTCGCTTGTGTATGGGATTATCCGGATGCTTGGACGGTTCAAGTTTATTCAGAAGATGGTCGCGTATCGCATGAGTGGGCTTGCAGAAGTTTAGAGCCAACTGTATCAGTAGGATTTGTGTAGAAATTGTGTATTTATAGGTCACAGTAAACAATGGTCCGAGATTTGACATTCAGATGACCATGCCAAAGTAATTACATTTACAACAGTCGCAGGTAGTTAACAGGATGCTCGCCAAGTTGAACATGCTACGAGGTGGCCTTGGAACCGAGCTTAAACTCGATGTCGACCAGCACGGGGGATTGACTGGCCGGCGAATGAGTTTCTGACATGTTCGATTCCGCTTCTTTCAGGGCCTTATGCTCGGCGATTTTCTGAAACAAGATGTCAACCCTTGAAGATCGCGAAAATCGACTGCAACGACTTACGGCCTTGAGAGACTCAGTCGCCACCAAAACGGCATCGAGGGTCGCTTCAGAGAGATCCACCACCTGTGGCTATGTGAGCATGTCGGACCAGCCAGAATGAAGCAAAAAACGCGCACCCTCTCGTGGATGCGAGTGCGTTGCGCCTCCCAATCCCGCGACGACTGCGCCGCCGCCGTGTCAGGATGCGCGGGATCGATCTGGGCGAGCCGAGCGGCGCGCTTGCACTGCCTCTTGTTCTTGTTGGAGACCCAGTATGCGCCTACGCCAGCGCCGAGCATGAAGCAGAGGAGAGCGGGTGCCATGGATGTTAGTAGGTGTTTGAGATTGTGTTGCGGATGACAGAGGCGGGGATGTGTCGGGTTGCTTTTATGGACATGGCGGAGGGACACGTATCGGAACGGCACCGCAGTCGTGGCGTCGCGCAGCAGATCGCAGCCTGTCGCAGCGGTTCATGCCGAGGGGGGTCGTGTCCCCAGTCACGATGTCTGCCACAGAGCCGCGATGATGACATCAGAGCGCCAAGCCAGAATTGAGCGCAACGCTCCGTGCCTGGATTAGGAAGGAGGTGTCTACCAGGGCCCGAATAAAACCTCGGAAAGGGTCAATGCAGAAGCCACAGATAGCATTTGATAGTTTACGAGCGTGGTGGGATGTAAGCATTTGAATTGGTGGCTCGAAAGCGTGGTCTGGTGACCCCAGTGTGAGTATTGCAAGACCCTCCGAACATGGGATGAGGAAGCAGGAAGAGCTTTAAGGGCTGTCCGAGAGTCGGCCTCGAACTATCGCGCTCGGCCTGTCTCGGAAGTGTCCCGAATACAATCAAGTCGCAGATGACCCTCGGAATGACATCAGTTCCTATAAGGTCTCACTTGATAATCGTATATAAGCGCCGCGAATGCTCTGCAGACCAGACAGTGCCAATATGAATCGCGCCCTCCGCTCCCTCCGCCCGTCGACGCTCTCGCGCAGCATCTTGGCTGCGAGGCACGGGAGTTTCAAAAGCCTGCAGACCCGGCCCATATCCCCTCTCATCCCCTATCGCACTGTGACCAACACTGTCGGCCCAGGGAGCCAGTCGCTCTCGCATGCCCGACAGAACATCAAGGAAGAGGCGGGAAACTCGATTCGAGACCTGGCCAAAGCGATCGCCGGGACAAACCCTGCCAAAGAAGACACTTTCGTGAGCAAATCAGCACTGTCATGTTTCCGAGCCCGGTCTGGAGGACGTGATTGTAGATTGGGATAACAGGCACAGTCGCCTCTGAGGTTCCCACCTCGGTCATGATCTTCGGGCTTGCTGGTTCGTGCGCCGGCTTCCGGCCGTTGTTATTGTCTCTGCTAAGCCAGACCCAGGCGGGATCCCGTACATCGGAGCGGCCGCAACAACCGTCTACCTCGCGCGCGAAGCCACTCTCGCGACATCAACCATCGACCACAGCACCGCCCTCAACGTCCTCAACGAGGCGCTCAACCTCCAGGTCACCTACGGCGCGGTGATGCTCTCCTTCCTGGGCGCGCTGCACTGGGGCATGGAATTCGCCGGGTACGGCGGGTACCAGGGCAACCGCCGGCTGATCCTGGGCGTCGCGCCCGTCCTGTTCGCGTGGCCGACGCTTGCGCTGGACCCGACGATGGCGCTCTGCGCGCAGTGGGCCGGGTTCACCACTTTGTGGTGGGCGGATTCCTGGGCGACGGTCTCAGGCTGGAGTCAGTCTCTCTCTCGCGAAACTTGAAGCAACCGGCTCACATGAGACAGCACCCAAATGGTACGCTCAGTACCGCTTCTACCTCTCGATCCTCACGGGAGTCTGGTCCGTCGTTTCTCTGCCACGCTCCTCCGCCGCACCGTTGACTGACCCCGCGGCAGCATCATCGGCTCCCTGGCTGGGATAACGTACTGGGGCCCCGTCGGTGGCCATGGGCTGCTCGACAAACGGCTGCGCGAGATTCGCAAGGAGCGGGCCGAGCTGCAGGCCAAACCTGAGGTATACTATGGAAAGGAGGTGACGATCCTCCCCGGCGAAAACACCTTCACGCGCTTGCGCAGAACGAAAGACATCGAGAGGGAGCGGGCTGAGAAACAGAAGGCCGCCGAACAGACATGGTTTGACCGTGTGATCCAGTAGCCTTGACCTTGAAGGCGAGAACTGGGAGTGTTACGAGCGACGGAAAGAAACCCAGTATGATCAAAATGTACAAACAGCGTTCGAACGTGTATGACAGTAGGATTTGTTGAGACCACATTGTCAACCGTAGGCTTACCCCAGGGGACACTTTCAAGGAGCTCCGGACTTCGCCGCACGCCATCGGATGCTCCCCCCGAAGCACTCGGATGGAATGCAATCCGTGGAGGCGACTACTGATGTGACACCATTGATGTGCTGATGGACCATTAGGACTTGTGGTTTGAAATGGGGTTAGAGTCAACAGAAACTCTTTTCTTTGTTTCTTTTTTCAGCGAAAATCGATGTCGATTTGCAGTGAAAATAGACTTGAAATAATAATGTATTTGCAGTTCTCTTATTGGGAGAAATAGACGTCTATATACATGGTACAAATCATTCTCTAAATTGATGTCTATTTTCAATACCTTTTTGTTGCCTGAAAATAGAACAATCGGACTTCTAGATTGTCATGTGTTTGCCATGGAAAAAGAATGCAGTGACTGGAGCAAAGGAGAACAGTTTCCTTTGAATAGGTTACTCATATCTAACACAAGTCTACAAGCTTCATAATGTAAACAGCCCTCACGTATCCTCAATGGCACACAAAGTACAGTTTTTTTTGACCGGCTGATGGGCATTTGATCGACTGGGGGGTGCGGGTGCCTTCTCGATTCGGGTCAGGCCTTTTATTTTTTCGGTGACTATACAGAAACGCGCCGCACTTTGGCCACATTGGTGTGACGCCTATCCTTGGTCAGAGAGTAGCTGAGGGCCTGTCAGAATCGTCCTCGACATGGAGCACGAAGTTGATAAGCATAATCACGAACACGGAACTCGAAGGATGCATCGTCTGAGCCGAACAAGCGTTGACGTCTCAGCCCGGCACGTTTCGACGACGGTCTGCACCCTCGTCATTCGTCGAATCAAGAGCTCTCCATATAGCATGACTAGGCCCTGTGAAGCTCCCTCGCGTCATCTCGCTCAGGTCAGATCGTATTGCCCGGCAGAGCAAGTACGACAGCTAAGTTGGATTGCCCGGCAGAGCAATTGCGACAGCTGAGTTGGACTCTGCCGGTTGTTCATCTGCCTCCTTGCCTTGCTCGGCGACCATGACCGACGTCTCGCCAGCTGGCTTGTATATAACGTCGCTGCTGCTTGCCTGTATCTGCAATACAACATCCCTGCAATCTTGGCACACACAATGTCTTTACCTGCGAGCACTACTGTTCTAATCGTCGGCGCCGGTCCCTGTGGAATGGCCGCTGCCCTCTCTCTGTATCATCAAGGGATCAAGGATGTGGTCATCGTGGACGCCGTTGAAGCGGGGGAGAACTCCTCGCGCGCAATGGTGATCCACGCCGCGACGCTTGAGGTGCCTTTTTCTATTCTTCGCCCGTGAGCTCTCCGGGCCCCTCACCCTGATACCAGGCCCTCAACACCATCGGCTGCTTCGACTTCATCCTTCCGCATGCGGAGAAGATCACGCGTGTGGACATGCACCAGGGGACATCGGTGCTGCTCACCGCCGACTTCTCGCAGCTGGCCGACAAGACGCAGTTCCCGTTTGGGCTGCTCATCCCGCAATCTCAGACAGAGCGCGCCATGCTCGCCAAGTTGACGCAGCTCGGGATCCACGTCTTTCGGCCTTTGAAGGTCGCCTCGGCGAAGCAATCGGACGAGGACTCGATGGTGGATGTGCAGTTCGAATCCGGGGAGGTCGTGAAGGCGAAATACGTGATCGGCGCGGACGGCGCTCATTCAGTGGTGCGTCACTCCTTGCATGATATAACGCTCCATCGAAGGCTTTTCCAAGATACGAGGCGAAGCAGGCATCGGATTCAAAGACCCCCAAGGCGATGGGCCACGCGACTTTGGCGACGTATCCCAGCTCGTGTTGGGCGACGTCACATTCTCGAACCCCCTCCCGCTAGACACACCCCGCTTCATGGTCAGTGTCGCGAACAGCAACTTCATGCTCATCGCGCAGTTCCCTGCGGACGCCTACCCGGATGTCGCCAAACCAGTGTACCGCATCACATGCGGTGTCCCTCAGACCATGGGCGCGGTGCCCCATGCGCCGGGCATGGATTATCTGCAGAAGGCGATGGACCGGATGGCCCCGGAGCCACTGCGCACCGCGCGCATCGACGCCGTGCACTGGTCCTCACGCTACAAGACACGCTCGGCCATAGCCGACCGTGCGTTTGCGCGGCTCCCAGGCGGCGGGGTCGTCCTCCTGGTCGGCGATGCCGCGCACATCCACAGCCCCGTCGGCGGACAGGGCATGAGTTTGGGCATTCGGGATGCGATCAGCCTAGGCCCCGTCCTGCGCGCGTACCTCGATCGGCCGGAGGACGACCGTCGGCTTATGGAGTGGGCCCGCTGGCGGCACGAACGGGCTCTCGGAGTGATCAGTTTGACAGAGCATGGGATGCGGTTGATCACTTCGCAGCGCAAACTGTGGTTTCCCTCGGTTGTGTACGGAATTATGCGGATGCTCGGACGGTTCAAGTTTGTTCAGAAGATGGTCGCGCATCGCATGAGTGGGCTGGCAGAAGTTTAGAGCTCTGATCGTCTCCTAAGCGTACACGCACAGTGGAGTTAGAAATCGTGTATTTACAGGCCAATGCAAACCCGTATCCCCTCTCATCATCGCACTGTGACCGAACAGACGTGGTTCGACTGTGTGGTTCAGTAGGTTTGACCGTGAAGGCAAGGATTTGAAGTGATTCGAGCGGCGAAAAGGAAACCAGGATGATCAAATGTACACAAAGCATTCGAACGTGTATGGTAGTATGATTCTTCTCTGAGGCCAGATTGTCGACCACAGGTTCAAGTATCACGGGGGAAAGACGTAGACTCAGAATTGGAATCGGTGACATGACGAAGCAATCATTTCCTGTCATTCGCAAATATATGTCACTCAGGCTGTTACCACGATTCACCATCTTTTCGGGCGCGAACTGCTCTCTGTGCGACGTGCGTTTCTCCAGCTGCCAGTCCTGCCGCCTCCCGACTCATACGATCTCCTATCAAGATCGCTAAGCTTGAGCTCAGTCGCGTTCGCCAAACTGTGAGCTGCGGGCTCACCCAATTTTGTTGCCCGCGCCCTCACACTGTCTAGCGCCCATTCGAGATCGACACGGTCGACATTCACGCGCCAGGCAACGAAAAGTGGAAGAAGAAATATGTGTATTGGATCCCTGCGCTGCACCTAGACGGACAGGAAGTCGCCAAAGGCCGCTGGGACGCAACGAACGTGAACGCGGCGCTGGATCGATGGGAGGAGAATCGGAGGAAGACGCAGGGAGTGGACAAGAAGGCGTCGTGATAGGCAGTGAGGTAGATACATGTTGCGCCTACCTTCAGTCTCCGAACTTTTACTAAGCACTATCATGCGCTAGCCTACGTTGCCGTTCTACAGCCAGCCTTACCCCGCCCACCAAGGCGTATGGGAACCGTCTGGACTGTACGCCCGGTACAACGACAATAACGATGGCGACGACGATATCCATCCTCTGGGTTCACCCGACCGGCTCCCGCCAGATCCGTACGCTTCCAGCAACACCCAGCCGCGGTGCTTCAACTGCGGCGACCAGACACACGTGCTGTCGGCGTGCCCTCACCGCCGTGACGCCGCGCTCGTCGCGCTCTCGCGGCAGATCTACGACTTCGAGCACGCGCGGCGCGGCGCGGCGCGCAGTCTGAAGGAGTTCGCGGAGCGACTGCGCAAGGCGGATTGGGTCGCCGGGCCGCACGCGTTTGTTCCCGGAAGAGTGAGCTTTGAGCTGCGTAGGGCGTTGAGGTGGCGCGCGGACGGCGAGGAAGAGGAAGAGCAAGTGGGGGGAGACGATGTCCTAGACGATAGCGACCCAAGATGTGAATGTGACGACGACGGACGAGATCATCCGTGGTTGAGCAATATGGCGCTGTGGGGCTATCCGCCTGGATGGGTTGCGGTGCAGGATCCTCGAGAGGAGATGTTGGCTAGGATCATGCACGAGAACAACCAAGACGACGACAGCAGCGACGGAGAAGGTGCGATGAAGATATGGGGCGAAAACGGGGAAGAAGAGATCCTGCTTACTCCCGACCCTGCACGCTCCTCGATGGACGCTGAAAGCGTAGCCCCGACATCCGACAAGATGCTCACGATGAAGCGATGGGCGCAGTATCCGGACCTGCATTTTGCGTGGGATCGACTGACGGTCTATAACGGTCTCCTGCTCAGCGAACATGGGCTTCGCCCGCCTCCTCTGAGGGGTCCACCCCCAGAACCTACGGAACGGCCACCTCCACCACCACCAGACCCTCCGCCACCAGAACCTCTACCTCCCGCACCGCCTGTCTCTGTCACAGCTCCATTTTATCAGTCGCAGGGGTATCCGTCCTACGGTTATTATTGGCCGGCTGGTACTTATGCCGTTCAGACGTACGCTCAGTCAGCGCAGAGCGAGCCTGTGGCTCTACAGGATCAGGGAGAAGAGGAAATGGATCTATCTGATTGATTCAACTCTTCGTCGCTTTTGAATAGAATTCTCTATGTTCGTTACCCGTATTGGTGCTTGGCGCAAATGGGGATCAAGTTTCCAAATACAGATCGGAGGCGTAGAGCGTTGTGCAGCTGAGGTTAGGGCTACAGCGAATCACTCTCTACTTCCAACTTTCTATTCCCAAGGCCGTACGCCACGCCACGTTCTCGAGTCCTAGTCTCTTAGCTCGTCGGAGGAGTCCCTCAAGACACTAAGGACAACACTTGTGCTCCATGGCTCTCCCGCACACGCCGGAACTTCTCCGAGCGCACGTTCGAAACAAAATTCCAGGCTGCCGCACTTTGGGACGAGCTTCTGGAGCCATCTGCAAATTTTTCCAGGATATCAAGCTACATGTTTCCATTATCTGCGAAAGAGCCCGTTTCGGCGGATACGGATTGCCGAGCACACTATGATATGGAAGAAATGTATCCTGACATCTGCCCTCGGACTTTCACGCTCCTCTCAATCTACTGGAAGGACATGACGGGTTTCAAACTCCAGTATCAGAACATCAATGAACCAAGCGGCTCTCCAAGTAGTCAACATACGCCCGACAGATTCCGCAAGATCGCCCGACAGATTCCTCGAGATCAGCGTGGGCAAGGAATCGACCGCTTCGAGAAAATCTATCTTGCCCAGTCGAATGGGATATCTTCATGGGTCAGGCGGCCGGCACACTTTGCGTCAAGACGTCGTTGTGGACGAACGGGACGAACTTTGCACGACTCCCAAACACTTTGCACGCCGCAGGAGAATACCGCAACGAAATGAAGACAGATCAGGCGGAATCGGATCATCACAACGGGGCTGTGAAATCTCGCTCATGCACGCTTTGCATGCCACCCTTTGAGCGCTGGGATCGCTTTGTTGGCTGCCTGCTACAAAGCCGTTTCACGCTTGCGCCAAGTAATATCACGATGGCGCTCTGGGCAGCGCTTTGGGTCGATCTCACGTGTCTATGACCTGAGGACCTGATAAAGGTGCATCGAGTAACGTGATTGTCCGCACTCGCGTTTGCCCCCCCACGGCCTCCGACGAGATATGCACGCAGGCGAGATCGAGTCTCCCGCAGACGCCAGGAACTCTTCCAAGACGCGCATGACCCAGGCTGAGAAACGGAAAGAGAAGCGTCGCCAGAAGACGAGCTCAGATCCGAGGGACCATATCGACCGCCGTGGTTATTGCGCTTTGTGCTTCAACGGGTGCGTTCTGCGACTTTTTGCACTTCCTAGCCACCTGAGAGCCTTTCTGCAGAGGAGAAACCATCCACTCTCCCTGCTCTCAGCATGTGAACTCTGATCTCTGCCACCGTATGCGCAAAGAGCGTTTCGGTCCTCATGCGCTGGACTCCCAAGACGATCGATTGCGCATACAGAGGAGGACTGCGACTCATGCGCTCTGCGTCCAGGGTAATGAGTTCTGGCGGCTGCCGAAGAGCGTCTGGGCGACGGCGGCAGAGCTGTGGTGGGCCTGGCTGCTCGACAGGACCAACAACGGCTTGCCATTTCCGACTCTCCAGTTGCTCATGGATGATAGCGATGTCGTGGACGAGGAGAAGGGAGATAAAGAGCAGGAGGTTAAGGAGTTTGGACACGAAGTCGGGGAGCTCGAACAGGATGCGAACACGACTGCGGCGGTCCCATTTCCGTTCACTTTCGCCTATCCGATGTGCCCTAGTCCATTTTCCCACCCTGACGCGGGCCTACTGGGGTCTGCTTACTACACTCATACACCTACCTCCTACGTGACTCCCCGCTCTGCCCCACTTCGCGTCAACTCTTTTTCGCGGCGCTCGACACCGGAATCAGACACGTCCAGTAACCCCACACTCGACTCGTGGGCGTCTCCTTGTCCTGAAACTCAAATCGAGCAGTACTTTGGCCATGATCTCCTGGCTCAGGACTTGGATTCCGGGATTGAGGACCACGATCGTGGGACTGGACAGTGCTCAGCCTACGATGGAATAGGAATCGAGACCGCCCAGGTCTTCGCATTGTTTGAGGAGAAGTTTGGGACGTACGAGAACCCCCGGAATGAATTTCTATTTGATGAGTTCTGAACTTATGCAACACTTGTCTGTTGCAGTTAGCTGTAATTCTGGGCTTCTTGCACACATGCTCTCTGAGATGTACCGCTTCTACTAACTGTAATACATATCCTCAGCACTACAATGGCCATGCGCGTCCCAAATCTTGTCTCAGCCGATGAACGTCTCCCGCTTTGTTTATGTGGATATTCGATTATTTCGATGCATATCATGTACCATCGAAAGCACTACGTACAAAAGTACTACAGCGAGTCGTCGGACACTGGAGGCACGCTTAGTTTCGTTGCAAGCAGCTTCTGTAATGAATCGATGGTTGCAGCGCTCCCTGCGAGATCCAGTGCAGCTCCTCCGCGAGGGCTCTGCGTCAGCAAGTGCTGTGCACTGGGGATGCGGAGGGGCGAATCTTGTCGGCGAGCCATGTGTGCAGCCTCGCGACCGGAAGCACCGCCACTGGCAGGCTCTTTGGTGAGCGCATGCTCTTGCTTCGTCTTTAGCTCGTCCTGGGCGACGTAGGGCCGCGTTCCGGGGAAATACGGATTTATCCGGCGGGGGCTGTCGTACCCAGGGTGGGCTGTGACGTGCAAGCGAACTTGTGTGTCTTCCAAACCATTGGAGATGTCAGTGCCAACGACGGTCGGCACTTTCTCGACCATCAGCGCATCCGTCGTCTGGGGCCGCATCAGTGTCACCGACTTCAGCCACAGATCACGGTTCGGTTGCCCGTCCTGCATCAGCGCAACCCGTCCATTGGTAGCCCCGGGTTTGATGCGGGCGGCGACACCGGCGAAGGCCGCAACAGAGTGCCCATCCTTCAATTGGAATCGACCGACGGTGTTGACATCATGCATCACAAATCCAGGCTTGGGCTTGGAGAGGAAGAACGAGTGCACCACCGAAGGATGAGAGTACATTAGTCCCCCGTTGCGGTGCGGCCGAGGCTCGATCTTGTTGGTCGTCTGGTACTCCTTCGCGGTCTGCTGAGAGATGAATCTTTGATGGTATTCGCCGACGTTGGCCTGAGCGACGTCAAAAGCTCGGCGCTGTCCATTACCGAGAGGCTGGCCTGCCCGAGCCTCGACTGTCTGCAGATACTCCTTGAAGGCAGGACGCTTCGCGCGCAACTGAACGAGGTATCTCGCGAATTCCTGCGGCGTCATGGCATGGATATTGGGCACGAGATACGAAGGTGGCCGGGAGGCTTTGGGCCCGTACTTCGAAGGTCCTTTGTTGCCGAGATGCTCGATGTAGACGCGGTTGTCTGGATTCCTCGACGGCTCCTGCTGCGCAGTGGGCGAGGCTTCTGTCTGTGCGTTGTCCGCCAAGTCCGACGCGGAGGGAGAGTCGAGATCTGCAGCCGTTTCTGCTGTAGTTTCGCCTTCAGTCTCGGCAGACACCTCCACAGCAGACGCGTCTGCTGGCGCTTGCGCGGGATCCGAGAGCGCGCCCTCGATGACAGAGTCGAGACCAAAAGCACCGTCGACATTGGGAGCTATGACACCGGAGAGGGCGGTGATAGCGTCGCCAGAGTTGCCGTCTTCGGTGGCGGAAGCGGAAGATTCATCGCCCAACGAAGGTGCCCAGTGCTCAACAGGAACAGGACTGAATTCTGAGTCTATGGCCCAGTTCCTACGGGTGTCGCCAATTTTGAGAGACCACGCAGATTCACCCCGACCTCCAGCGACCACGTCGAGCTCTTCCATTCGGCGTACGAACCGCACCTGGTCCTCTGCGTTGTCCCATTCTACGTAGTGCTGACGAGCCTCGAATTGTTTGACCGTAATGAAGGAGTTCTTCTTCCGCTGGGTGATGGGCCGCTTGAGACCCCAATACCCGCGCTGTGCGAACTGCTTGGGCGCGGTGTACGTGTTGCGGATGTTGGGGTCGAATGTTGCGAAACGCGAGCTTCGAAGGAGTTGGGAGAAGGGGGACGACGGGTTCTGAGCCACGTTTTGGGCCGCTGTCGCTATAGATGAGGCGGATGCATGGCTGGAGGAGCTCGCAGCCGCTGCAAACGCTCTGGACATGAATGTTTTGAGAGGAAGAACTTTTGAATGGACAATTTTGGGGTTCCGCAATCAGCCGACAGTGATTCGATCAAATACAGATCACGTGCCAAGGAAATGCATATAAACTGAATCCGCGCGTGATTCGTTTTGAAAAAAACCACGATGTCCAAATTACTGTTCGTCCTCCGCCGTCCGGCATATCGCAAGGAAGGATAGTCCAGACAAACGTCGGAGATGGCGCGACCTCGTCGCGAGGATTCCTTAAAACAGTCTTTGCTGAATGTTTCTCCCTCTGGTCGAGAAGCTAGGACGCAGGACCACCTATGGAGTCCGACATATCCCTGTGTTAGGAGTACCGATGTGGTTGTCTTACTGTAGTGGATCAATGTATGTGAGTTTGCTTCTCGTATTGTATCTCATTTCTCCCTGCGGCGCCGATGACGAAAAAACTGGTAAATCGACGCACCCCGGCCCCGCTGAAGAGGTCTTTTGGCTTCGAAGCGGCGGTTTCTGCATCGTGACAGGCGGCGTCCTACCTCTGTGTAAGGCACTGGCGATAGCGGTGCGAGTGGAGAGCTTAAGGCGAGGCTGAGGCGCCGACGGATTTCGCTTTCTTGCATTTGCTTGTGTTGCCCCATGAAGCTTACAGTCTTTCTTAGGTCCTGTACACATCATCGCACCCCTTTTGATAGTCCTCGGGCCGTTAGGTAGCTAGAAAATAAGGAGTACTGCATGACCGCTTAGTGGCGGAATTTCGTCCAGTATTTCGCATGCTTGCGTAGAATACAGAATACATTCGGTTTGCAAGAGGTGTTTTATAGGCCGGTCAGGGTCCGCAGTGCATCTCTTACGTTCCCGTTGTGCTCGACGAGGACACGTTCTGCCTCGGCTTTGGGAAGCTCAAACTCAGACACCTGATGCACGATAAACGGGTCGGCGCGTTATCCCAATAGACAAGCACGCACAATGAGCTCTACGTCCTCCTTCTTGATCGAATCGCGCTGCGCCTTGGTCAACGGGGTGTTTTTGTGTAGGACGATAGGCGGTTTATCAAGAAAACCCCCAGGCCGGAGGGCTTCCTGCATAGCGGATTTCACGTATGAGAACCCATCGAGGTACTAGATGTCGTCGGAGTATATTCGTATCCCATGCATTATGTGCGCACGGTCTGGGTAACTTCAGGCTGGGGCCGGCCGTTAGTGCGCGCGGTAGACATTTGTGGTCGGGGGGTGGGAGGACCGAATAGGGCAAGTCACACTTGTGACTGGGATAAGATTTCTCGTTCGACGTTCCTTCCTGTTCCCCTCTTTCCCCAGCGTCTCTCTCACTCTCAATGGCTGAAGAAATCCGTGCCTCGTCCTACGTCGGTTTCGACTCGATCACCCAGCAGATTGAGCACAAGCTCCTCAAGCGGGGTTTCCAGTTTAACGTCATTCTTGCTGGTGCGTCTCCGTGTTTGACGCTACGCAAACACCGTCCTTACCTCGGCCTCTCCTCCCTTTCCTCATAGGACAAACGGGTCTCGGAAAGTCGACCCTCATCAACACCATCTTCGCGTCGCATTTGATTGACTCTAAGGGTCGTTTTGCGTCTGACGAGCCGGTGAGGCAGACAACGGAGATTCAGGCGGTGTCGCATGGTGTGTGCTACGTGATTCCTACCCCCAGTCGTTTGCTCATTTGAGTACTCCCACCTCTAGTTATCGTTGAGAATGGCGTCAAGTTGCGTCTGAACATCGTCGACACGCCTGGCTACGGCGACCAGGTCAACAATGAAAACTGGTACGTAAACAAGTTCCTCGTGTCGAGCTCTTTCGTCCTCATACACTTGGTAGTTGGGACCCTATCATCAAGTACATAAAGGACCAGCACAGCGCGTACCTCCGTAAGGAGCTCACCGCCATGCGTGACCGGTACATCCAGGACACGCGTATCCACTGCTGTCTGTATTTTATCGCCCCGACCGGACACTCCCTGCGCCCGATCGACGTCATTGTCATGAAAAAGCTCAGCGAAGTCGTCAACGTTGTCCCTGTCATCGCCAAGTCCGACAGTCTGACCGTAGAGGAGAAGGAGGCGTTCAAGCTCAAGATCCGCGAAGAGCTCGTGTACCACAACATCCGGCTGTATCCCTTCGACACGGATGAGGACGACGACGAGGAAGTCGCTGTCAACGAAACCATCCGCGTGCGTTTGGTCACATAAATGACCGTCTAGCAGGGTCGCTGACAGGATCGCAGGCAATGGTTCCCTTTGCCATCGTTGGGTCCGAGACCAACGTCATCATCGACGGAAAGTCTGTTCGTGGGCGCAAAAACCGTTGGGGTGTCGTGAACGTGGAGAACAAGGAGCACTGCGAGTTCATGCACCTGCGTGATTTCCTGACACGGACTCACCTGCAAGATCTCATCGAGACAACGGCGCAGATCCACTACGAGGCTTTCCGTTCGAAGCAGCTGCTGGCCCTGAAGGAGGGTGTGAACCGCCCCGCGCCCGCCGCTTAAAGCGGCCGGCTGGCTGGTGCGCTGTTATTCTATACCCCGACCCGAAAATGGCTTTGTTTCTTGTGTTACCCGGATTTCCTCCCGTTTCTGGACCCTACGTACCTAGTTGTTCCCACTTGTCCATAGCTCACGCTCGTTTTCACTTCTATCATACTGCATTTCATGAACGAGCCGGTCCAAGAAGCGCAGCACAAAGCAACACGGAGGAGACATTCATTCATTACCAATTATAAAGATACGCTAACAGTACAGATCGTAAAAGTATCATCGTGAATCATGGCGCACCCCGCCCGCGTATTGTCGAAAAGACAGCCCGCAACCGCCCCGGCCTGTGAGCACTGTCCAAGTTCACCCTACTCGCGTGCGCTTCGGACAAATTCGTCTGCATGCGGCGCATTGCAACCCCGCCTTCCTCGGTCGCAAAATCAAACCCGCGGTGCACAGAGCGCATGCCCGTAGCCATGTCTGTCCGGCTCCCGCTTCTAAAGTCACCCGAGGGGCGACGAGGACTTTGGGCTGACGGTGCAATCGAGCCCACGCTCGAATGCGTCGTCGTCTGGCGCTTGAGCGCGGCGAGGCGATGAGAGCTGTGTCCCTCCCGTCGCAGTTCTTCCACGTCGTGGTCTGGCTCGATTTTGCTGATGTACCGGAGAATGTCCAGGTCACTGGGGCGGAAGCAAGATTGGTATGCTTTCCAGAGGAATCGGGGTGCCAGCGCCAGGATAACCGCAAAAATGAGCGCCAGCCAAAAGTAGGCCGAGCGGAACAAATAGTGGTCGTTTCCGTACACAGGAGTCCTGATCCAACCGGGCGAAATCAGAGAGTAGATGGCCTGGAGGGGGTAAGCACGGAGAAACGGTCCGTCTGACTGCAACACCGACCGTGTAGCCCCAAATCAAGACGATCCCCAACAGCACTGCGAAAAACACCCATCCTGTCCACACATTTGTGTTGAGGCCATTGAAAAGGTTGGCAACCATGGCAGCCGCAATAGCCATCGTCTACCAGAAGTCATCAGATCGGAACAGGTAGACTGATAGCTAGGAACTTTACCGTTGCAAACTCGTACTGGTAGACAGCATACCCGTCTGATCGAGCCGTGGTCGTATCATACGTGTACAGAATGAAGAAGAAGATGATGGCCGACTGGGATTCTCTCCATGAGCACGAGAAAGAGATATTCTGGTCGAATAACTGACCTGGAATACGCCTTCAAACATGAAGACAGAAAACAGCTTGAATCCAAACCACTTTCCCTCACGGCCGAATCGATATAGCTCAGGGAAAGCCATGAGAGTTTTCGCGTCTTTCATTGAATTAACGTCAGACCGGAGGAACAACAACTCGCCCAGACTCACCAATGAGACGGTCGAACAGGCCAATCGCAATCACGGGCGCTATTGTCCAGAAGGCGTTCCACCATAGCAGATATGTGTACTCAAAAGCACTGGTGACGGCCAGTTAGAAAATTATCAAACGCTCGCGCAGCATCTGTCTCACTAAGCAGAACTCCATCCGTTGTAGATCTGGAACCACCACAGTACACCAATGCACACGATGTTCTTGTAAAAGAAATTGACGATCATGTTACCCTGCACAAGAATTCTCAGCCAGAGTCAGATGCGGCGAAAATCAGATACTCACATTGCGAGCATAGGACCAGTGGCCGTGGACGAGCAGTAGCCGTTTCAAAAACCGGAACTGATAACATGTAAACTTGACAAAAGAAACCAGCAGAAGAGAACGCACCTGAGCGATGGCATAGTCCGACGAGTGCACTGCCTGTAGACCCTCTTCACCAGAAACACCAACACCAACGTCAGCAGCCTAAGCATGAATTGAATTCAGAACCAAGAAAAGATCAGAAAATGGCAAGGCAACATACCTGGATCATGCTGACATCGTTGGCCCCGTCGCCGATCGCCAGCGTCATCGCACCTATGCCATCCTTGACGAGGCGTACAACAAGCGCCTTTTGAAGAGGCGACACCCGACAGCAGATGACGCCCTCACACAGCATCGCAAGCTGCAGCAGAACGTCCTTGCTCTGTTCCTCGACCAAAGCCTGTCCGAGCCGGATAAGCATGAGTACGGGGAGAAGGTGTCCAGAAGCACTCACATGGCCCAGCGCAGTCCCGTCGATGACGAGCACAAATCCACCCGGGCGGTTGCCGTTGTTGGCCCCGACGATGGACGATACACCGGTGTTCACCCGCCGCAAAGGATGGCCGGGTTGGCTGGCGGAAGAAGAATGACGTCGGTGGTGGAGCGTCGGTCTGACTGAGCCCTGATCATTCAGAATCCCGCTCTCAGGGAAGAACTCCTCGATTGCGCGAGTCATCTGGTCTAACACCGATCGCGAGCCCTCGTCCCCACCGCGCAGAACGATGATATTGGATTCTTTGCCGATCAGGTTCGTGCTGTGTCCGATGGCTGGCACGGCAAACAAGTCAGTCTAAATGAAACACCCTGCACTTGGGCCACACACCAATGGCAGTCTCGAGCTTGTCGCCAGTCGCAACCCAGATCTTGATCCCAGCGCGCTTCAAGTCGGCGATCGTCTCCGGAACACCATCTTGCAGTCGGTCTTCGATGGCGGTCGCTCCCAGCAACCTGAGATCGCACTCAATCTCGCTGGACACAGACTCGACCAATTCCTCCCGATTTTCGACGGCGACGGTGGCATCGTGATATCGCTGGCTCCATGTATTGTACTCGTCGTCTGCAAGGAGGGATCAGTACATGTAAGTGAATCTTCCCAAATGACCACGAACCTGGTATAATCTTGTACGCTAAAGTCAGCGTCCGCAACCCTTGTGATGCGAAATCATCGAGGTGCTGCTCGGTCTCCTCCAAGAGCCGATCCGCAGACCCCGGTTTCAGCCGCTCGAATATGACGTTGTCCGCTCCTTTGCAGAGCAAAAACAGCCGTTTGTCGTCCCCATCGAGTTTGCGAACAATCACGCTCATCCGCTTGCGAGCACTGGTAAAGTCCAGGATATTCAGCAGCTCGTAGCGTTCGACCGTGCCTGCTGGCGTAAACGGCGTCTGCAGCAAGAGAACCTCACGCTCCCGACCACGGAACACATAGCCGACGTCGGCAGCTGCCTGGACGAGCGCAGCCTCATCCGGAGACTGGGCTTTGTATGCCGTTACTTGGCCCGTTTCCGCGTCAGTGGCCGCGAGAGCCGTATGGCAAAGCGAAAGCACCGAGAAGAATCCGTGCAAGGCTCGAGAGTGTTCCGCATTCGGAGCATCGGGGCCGGCGTGCACCGCTGCAGCAAGATCTGCAGCAAGGGCGACGTCGTGGAACTTGGGCTTGGGAATTGGGGGCAAGGACGGCGACCCGTCGTTACTAGAGTCGACCGCTGTTGAGGACTCGCCAGAAGAAAGTCGGGTGTTCAACGCAGATGAGGGAACGGGGTCAGACTGAGTGGCGGTGCCTTGCCCAGTGTAGATGGTGCCACCGATCGAGCATCCTTGGAATACCATGGAGTTCTATGGAAGAATGAGCCCGAGCGATGGCAAGCATCACGGTAAGGCAAGGCGGACGTACTTGAGTCAAAGTCCCTGTCTTATCAGAAAAAATGTACTCGATTTGACCCAAATCGTCGGACAAGTTCCAACTACGAGCGAGAGTTGCTTGTTTAGTCTTCTCGTAGTAGATTTCGTAGTCGAAGTAGATAAAAAGCGCTTGACATGTCCGGACGAATTCGATCGAAATATACAATGAAATCGGGACTATGTTCTGGAAACTGTGTGCAGTGTCAGAAGCGGAAATCAAACAGATGCCAAAAGTTCACGGACGTGATGAGAGCAAATGCCCATGTGATGAGCCCATTGATCCTCGGATTGTTATCACTTCTATCGTCGTCGAATAGCCAGGGAGCCCCTCTCGGGTAGTCACGTTTCTCCAGCTGAGAGTCGGCAATCCCACAGACCACTGCCATAACGGCCAGAAGAATGAGATTTGAAGCACTATCCGAAATGAGTAAAGCGCTTCAACGGTGCACGACCCACGTACACTTGGGGATTCATCTGGCGTTCCACTTTGCTCCGTTTACTCGGCGCTCCGCCAGAATTCTGCACGATCTTGGTGTCCTCGCCCGTGAATAATACCACGCCAATAACCCATCGCGTATTTCGGAGGACCGTCCCCCGTAGCAGGGTCATGGTCAAATCAGCAGGAACCGCCCCATCTTTGAGGTATACCGCGCAATTAAGCCGAAACATATTATTGTCCGGGCGGTCGCAATCGACGTGGAACGCGTTCTCCGGCGCAGCGCAGGCCGCCGAATCGCGCAGATGCGTGAGCTCGGGAACAGCGTTGCGGGATTTGAGATTGGTTTCTCCGTCCAGGTTCTTCGTCTCGACGAATGCCACATTCTCGTCCTCTGACGTCGCGCAGATGAGGATGTCCGCGGGAACCTGCTCATCCTCTACGATCTTCAGAAAATCCCCCACGCGCACATCTTCCCACCGGGCCACCTTCCATCCGCCGTCGTCATCCCCGTCGGATGAAGCAGCAGCAGCCCCAGCCGCAGCATCTTTCTCCAGAGACTTCTTAGTGCGCAGACCCCTGACGAAAGTGCGGTTCCTGGGCTGCATGCGGTTCGGGTTCTCCCATCCCTCGGCGTCGAGGACGAGTACAGGACTTTGGTTGACTCGGCTGTCCGACTGATGTCGCTTTGCATCTTCATATGCATCCTTGCCCCCCGTGATAGCGAGAATAACCAGTAACGGGAAGATAACGAGGCCGGGCGAGATGGTGGAGAACTCGCTGAAGAACTGCAGGATCGCAATTCCCAGAAAAAACCTGGAGAATGAGAATCAGCCCTTTGACCCGAGCGGATTTTAAGGAAAGATGCGCGCGCACACGTTAGCGACTCGGCGGAACTGTTCAAGTAGATTGCGCGGAACGAAGGTGATCAGGGTGTACTTGGAGGTGATGACTTGGTTTGAGGGATAGACATGCTCGGATTGAATCTTGCCCTTATTGGTGAAAAACTCGCCAGGCAATGGCTCGTTAACGTATACTGTTCGCTTGGGCCCTGGCTGTCGCTTCCGTGAGAAGAGTGTTTCAACATTGAAGTCCGCGACTTTGTGGTACCAACGAGCGACGGCCGACTGTCGTTTAGGAGACATAGTGGGGGTCGATGAGAGGATTAGTTATGGATGGCAAGCATGCTCGTGGCGGTCTAGGTGTAAGTACCCCGTATTCTGCCGTGTCGGAGTCTCCGCAAGGAGGAGACACAGCTGTGACAAGTGGCCTACGTACGAGACATTACGTCACATCGTGGGCTGGGCATACATCACCGGTACCGCTCCCACCGAAAAAGCATGAGGGCACTCGAGGATTCTTGTCGTGCCAATGTTTCGCCATCCACAGCGTGCGTCCGCCTTTTTTGGACTTGCTGCAGGTGATTCTGGGAAATCAGAGAGGAAGCTTGCATAAACAGGCAACGGCTTGTTTCTAAATATTTCACGGAACCATTTCGAGTAATGTCAATTAGATAAATGCCGGGACCGACGGAGAGACAGTAAGCTCAATTGTTGGTGCCACCGATTATCGGAGAATGTACAGAACAGTCTAGTGCTCACAGAACGGAAGCTGGACTTCATCCCTCGACCTATCGGCTGCGCGCAAAGCTGGTTTGTTTCAGAGTCATTGACAAACTCAATGCCTTCTTGTAGAAAACTGGAAAGGGTGCTCGCGCTTGTACTCGCGTTCGACATATATTCCAAAACGGCAGGCATATCTGAAGATGTTGCCGACACCTTGAGCCAAGGAATCAGAACGCTATGTTACTGTAAGAGAGGGTAGATCTGAAGAGGGGTGCCAGCATTTCCGCATTCGAAACCATCGTGCGCTGGCCACCCAAAATGATGCCCGATAGAGACGCCTGGATTGGATTGCTTTGTAGGAAAAAGCTGAAAAGCCAATGAAACTGAATCCCAAATAGATTTTCGTGGAGTTGTTAGCACCCGACATCGACTCCGACCGCGGTGACCTGCCCCGAGTGGTCGTGGTGGCGAGCATCCAGGAACGGGTTGACCTCCAAGCCCCCATTCGGACTATACTGAAAAGACATTCGGATAACTATGTCGCTCAGGCAGCCGACTCGATTGCAATGTGCACTGGGAACAAACTAAATCGCTAATCGGATTGATCCTCCAGATTTAGTTCTGTGAAGCGGTTCTGTGGCAGAATGTCTTGAGCTGTGATTCGGCCAGTGGATGATGCTATTGTGACCTTTTTGATACTTTACCGTCCGTCCGCCGCCACCAATGCGGACATGGGGTATCCGATCAGTGCTTTGGCGTTTCCTTTTGCAACAATATTGCTGTTCTGGCCGTTGTCGACACCATCCCTTCCCCGCTTTCGAGAAGGTGCATCGGGCACGCTTTCGCTGTGTTCCAGTGCGTCCCAGCGTTCGTTTTGTTCAAGCATCGTTGAAAACACTTCAGACATTTCTTCGTAAGACAGCTTCTCTGGGGTTGTGACGGTGGCCGTAGAAGATTTACGCGGAAAGGGATTGGCCTGTGCGTTCTGTGCCTGGACCATAGTGACCAGACGTCCAGAGAGCTCGTGGAGCACAGACCCAGTAGGACCGAGAGTCTCAAAGTCTAAAACCCACAAGAATTTCTTGCCACTGGACGAAGGACCAAACAGATCCGCACAGGTGTCCTTGCCTGCGCAATGAATCTCAGGCCGAGTGTGTCGGAGGACCGTCCAGATCAGCAGCCAGTAGAACGACTCGAGATCATGGTAATGTTCATGAGTGTCTGCTCGCTCCAACGCAAGATCGAGCGCAAGGAAAGACAGGGTACCCTGTAAACAATCGTCAATGGTCGCTGCACAAGAATGGAGACCACCATACGACGAACCGTGAGTTCCTTGAGAGTCTTGCTGATGCTTGGGTAGTAGAGCGAGTGCACCGTGCCCAGCCTTGCATGAACCTGTTTCAATGTTTCGAGGCCCTCCTCACTGAATTCGGCGTAGTCGTAGTCGAGCAGAAAGCCCCGTACTTCCGCACTGTACGCATCGAACATCACATTCCCGTGGCTCACGTCTCGGTGTCTGACCCCGGCTCCCTCAGCGATGTGGAGATCTACACATCCGTGAGAAGCTCAGTCTACCGAAGAATCGCAAAACGCACGTTTGAGACCGTCGTAAAGGCCATCCACGAGCTCTCGCACGGACGAAAACGTCGACAACCGGCGCCCAACGGGAGTGAGCAGCGTCCGCGTATGATACCGCGCAATCACGTCACGCTCTTGCTCAGGCAGCAGGTCCACAGAGGCAGTCCTGTGCAGCGAGGGATCCCACGTGGCATCCTCCGCAGGAATCGACGGGATCCGGAACGACATGTCGAAGCAGCCGTGGCACTGCGCCATCCCAGTCGTGTCGATGCCCTTCTGTCGGCAGCCCTCGCGGATCACATCGTAAAAGTCGACTTCCGGTCGACGAGACCCTTGGCGCCAGGAGTCCTTGAGCGCGTAAACAGTCGGATTGTCAGCGTCGAGATCTTCGCGCAGAATCACGCGGAACACTTTCGTGGCGCGCCCGAACAGACTGTGCGACGCCCAGAGCAGCGGTCCCGCGGTGAGGCAGTGGACGAGCTTATACGACCGTCGCCCGGTCGCTTCGTCGTCTTGGAACATCACCGTCGGGATCACGCAGCTGTGTGCGAGCCAGTCGTCGCGTCGCAGCTCGCTTTTCTGCGCCTTTGCCAGTTTCCGCAGTCGGCTCGCTTTCTCGGCGTTTGTCGTCCGAGAGGCAGCCGCGGCGCCGCTGTTTTGGCCCGATGTACTGACCGGCTCGTCGGGCTGCTGCTCGAGCTCTCCCGCCTCCCTCAACATGCATTTCACACGTCGAACCATGGCGGCGTGCAGCCGCTCTCTCTCCGCCTGCTCCGTCGGCACGATCGTGTAGTCGTCGCCCGGCATCCGGCCGGGATGGCCGCGCGGATTGTAGAGACGATACAGAAAACGCGGAAGGACTGTCGGCTTGTCGTACCAGTCGAACGCCGGCGTGGCTTGGTAGCCGGCCGTGTCGAACCGAAAGAGGTGGGCACTGCGACCGATGAAAGTGACGAGATAGATGCAGCATGCACCCGAAGCCGCGAGCAGGCTACGCGCCCTCTCGCCCCACTCCGCCAGGGGGCCTGTGGATTCGTCTTCGTCGTCGCTCCGGGGATAGTACATCATTTCTCCGGCGCTGCTATCCCTCTCTGCCACGATGAAGTTCAACGAGTCTTTCACCTCGAAGAACGTCCCGATCTGGGACCAACGTAGCGGGTTGCCCTCTTGCGGCGCAGGAATTCCTGGCCGAGTGAAGGCAATGTCGGGCTGGGTCTTGTGAGCCTGGTCAGCGTCGTTCAACGGGATCTCCATATTGCACGTGTCAATGACGGTTGGTGCTGTGGCGCTAGGTAGCTGAGACACGACTTGTTGAAGGTAGGGAATCTCGTAGCCAGATAAGCATTAGATCCACCTGGGAGTATAGCACACACTAGCCGATCAACGAGTGGGTTCTCTCGTCCTTCATACGATAGAGGCAACGAGTCTTCGCTTTCCGTCTCTTCTCTCTCACTTGCTTCGCGCTCTTGGTCAAACAGGTCACATCTCTTGTGCGCTTCATCCAGTTGACTTTGAGCCCCAGAAACTGCATTCATGATGAACGCCGCCTCCTCCTGTCCATCTTTGCCCATGGTCTCCAACATCTCGTCCACGGAAATAAAACCCCTCAGATGTTCTCGCATGATAGAATCCGACATTTCGTGCTCGTCTATGTTGTCAACACGGAGAGAATCGTGCGTGGCGCAGCCAATGAGAGAGCGAGGTCTGAACTTCGTATCGCGTAGGCTGTGCTCCAAGAGTCCAATGACGATAATTGGAGAGGATGAGAGTGAGCGCAAGGGGTTGGTTGGATTCGGGAATCGAGCGGATTGTCCCAATGATCGGTCACATGACTACGTTATCACTCAATGGTAACACCTAAATCAGAGTTGCGCACCTGGAGCCAGAAAGACATCTGAATGCAAACTGGAACCATATACAATCATCTTCATACCATAATCAGTCCAGTGGAAATGCTAGCTTTCGTGAGGGATGCCGAGCAGAACGACAATGACGCGGATAGATTAGTGGCTGCGCTCGCGGAGAAGACGCAGGTTCAGTGGAAGCTGGCACATCAGTAAAACTACAACTTGGTCCAGGGCATCCTCTGTCTTGAAAGATGGGTCTTGAATCTTGAGATGTGATCTTGAGTCTTGAAAGATGATCTTGAGTCTTGAAAACATGATCTGGGTCTTAGAGTGATTTGTCTCGGGAAAGTTACAAATTGGTCTTGAAACGGTTCTTTTCATTAGTGTTGTGGCATAGTGGTACTTATTCTTCTTGGTCAGCCCATAAGGTATGCATCTCTTTTTGGTTCAATCCTTGTTGAGTGCAAAGATTTCCACAAGCAGTCAAGGGGCCTTTGCTCAGTGACATTCAATTCTAAGGCTCCAACTGTTTCCGTTTTAAAATATTTTAAACAGTTTCCACTGTTTATGTTTCTGTTTCATTTACGGAGGTCCTCAAACAGTAAACAAACAGTAAACAAACAAATCAACAATTAGAAAACCTTGCTGCTGGACCTCGGCTTGGTGGAGATCTTGTCTTCTAGAACAAGTGCACCGCTTAGATTCCGTGTTCTTGGGCTGGTTGTGGACTATCCCAGTTACATCTATCACGAGTTTATTTGCTTCAGCCCCTTATCCTAGACAGGTGTGTGTCATAATTCGACTCTTTTTCATCTTATCCTCGACTGTGACAATCAACCCAAAAACAAAGTCGAAAAGAGAAGTGAATTCGAAGACTGGAGAGTACAACCAAGTAGCTACAGTATTTATACCCAAATCCAGTCTGAGTCATATCTACAACTAATGAGTCATAGGGCTATGTACCGCATGGAACGCTGGTCATGGGTCGTAGTAGAACCTTCCGGAGCATATGTTGCGCAGCCTCGAATCGATGAAGATAATCCCTGGAACCCCTAGTCCAGACCGTCTGATGCCGTGATCCATGATAAGATAAGTCGTGCCAAGATAAGATAAGATCGTCGATGATAAGATGAAAAAGTGGCCGAACTATGACAAAGTCGGCATATCGAGTAGCAGCAGATGGACAGGGGAGTCAGGGTCAGTGGCGCGCGGCGCGCGGCGGGATTGATATCGCTATTGTATGATAATATAAATTCATTTATGATGTCATGCTGCAATCACATGGTCAAATATATCACGTGCTATGTACAGTAGAGTTGTTAATAAGGAATAAAGTTGGGAAGGGTCCCGGCATATTCCTTACCACGGGTATTCCGTATCACATATTCCATTAAAAAATGTATAAAATGGTCATTTTGGTGTATCTGCGGCTTCTACTTGAAGTACTGACTGAGTTCCGTCTGTTTCTTGCCCTGTTCAATCTCCTTGGTGAGCCCAACGTGCATTTTACGAAGTTGAGGGCCAAGGGTCAGCGTCGAGTCGAGATCAGGTCGGTGTCAAGCGATCTGCTCCAGGAGCTTTATTGCCGCGATGGCTTCCGTCTTATCAAACGAGAATTCGGGCTCCTCCTCCTCCTTGATCTCGGCCTCAAGCTCCTCCTGATCAACCCTGCACATGTGTTGAATGATCTCATTTGTGTTGTCTCCATCCGCAAAGCCGAGAACACTGGATCCCGGCTCTTGTCGTTCAATGAGTGGATCCAGAATGTCGTCGAGCGAAGGCAAGATTCCGCGGATGCAGCGCTCCGTTGATAGGCTGGCTACCAGACGCGCTCTGCACCAGCTCTGTAAGGGCGTATTTTTGCGCTTTTTACAGAGTTTACTCCTGAACCACTCGGTGTATCGTGTCGCGGTTGACAGTGTTGCGCTCAGTAGGACTTATGGGTCTACTGCCCAGTCGACGACTGTGGATAGTGTCGACGATAGCAAGGCAGTCAGACCACTACTGTGGAACTGGTCTTATGAGTCTATACCAGGCTCAGGGCCATTAGTGACGAACGCTTGGACCGCGACCATTCCCCAAAAGGGATCTGTCGTTGCGTCGACTTCTCAAAAAGGGTCATTCCCTGCAGATGGGAACTTGGGCTGAAGGACTGAGCAATGCGCGACGTTCTCAATAATAGAACTATTACTGGACAGGACTTGGCGTTACGAGACTTAAACCATCTTGTCGCGGCAACTCCCGGTTTTGAGTTGGACGTTCCCTCAGATCATGCCACGACGACGACTTGTCACATGTCAGGATCCATTCGATCACGGGACATTGTGGACGCGTCGCGGTGACACTCCCAAGTGTCACGGCGAGTCGCGTCCATACCCAAACACACTAAAATCGACACGGCTAGATCCATGAACCGAACCATGTGGGGGACGACTGGCGTGCCTAGAGCCATACGGCTTCTTGGGGCGCCCACGTTGGTCTCACTTGCCAAGACATACTCGTTGGCCAATCCAACACGTCGTATTCCAAAAGTATGACGCGGTGGGTTGACCCACATCAAAAGTATCATATGGACTATGGGGCGGGGTCCTGATCACTCAGGACCTGTCCGATTGTTCAACTTTTCAATTACCCTAAAAGGCAACCGATCTTAGATAGCGTAGCTACTATGCAGTTGTACAGGACTTTACTAAGCAGCGTCGTAGACAGTATAAGTAGCACGTTGTCTCTTTGTATTAAAAAGCTTTTTCCCGGACTGTGAATCACTCTCATTTCAGATTGTTTTGAACAATTTGCGTGCCGCGTGATTCCACCCTAAGAAGTTCTGCCACCCCTGCCCGGTCGCGACGAGTTGCTCCCTGAGCACTTGTAGCTACTGTGATTTGAGTTTGAGTTGAGACATCAGAAAGTCGGATTCGCCGCATCTGGTTTAGTCGCGGCATTTAGTGTCGTCGCCTTCGGGCTTTGTTGAGATCGTTCCACACCTCTAGCTTGGCAGTGCGTCAACTAGTTGTGCTCAGGTTGTTTTGGTCAGTTGGCAGTGTGTCGACTTGAGAACTTTGGTTCCACACTTCTTGCTTGGCAGTGCGTCGACAAGTTGTGCTCGGGTTTTGGACATTGGATATTGGCTGTTAGTTGGCAGTGCGTCGACGCGGCATTTTGGTTTACTAGTTGGCAGTGCGTCGACTCAGTACTTTTGGTTGTGTCAGTTGGCGGTGCGTCGACTTGATATTTGGGCTTTGCGTCACCATCTAGACGCTGTCGCTACAAGGGATCTTAATACTTCGTATTAAGCTCTGACTTGTTATATTGTTGGTTGTGGATTGGATTAGTGTTGGTTGTGTTCGTATAGGAGATATTGGTTGAGATACCATTGTTTGCTATATATAAATTCTTGTCGTCGACTTCGTCTCCGCGACTATTGGATCTGCGTCTATTGAGAGTTGTGATACTGGTGCTCTGTCCACCCCGAAGCCCTCGCATCTTTCACACACTGAGAAGCTGATTACGAGGAGTGTGAACGTGTTTATATTTGGGTTTACTTTCATAGTAGATTCACTTGTGAGCACGCCCTCAGCATTTCACCGTGGCAAGTGTTTGAATGGTGTCAGACAGCGCATCCTCGGCCGCGCGGAGATGGCGATCGCAAGCAAATCGGCGCAGAGGACCCTTGGCAGCAGCTTCAGTCTGAGTGGCCATGAGATCCCGAACAGCGAGCTCAGCCTTGATTGAATCGCCTTTGCAGGCCATGACAGCGTCAAGAGGTGCATTCCAGTCCTTGGGATAGTAATCCGTGCCAAGAACGCGTTCAAGCCCCTGTTCTGCTTGCGGTAACGACATTTCGGTCATTGCGAATTCCAAGATCACATCCCAGGCATCACTGTTGGCCTTCGCTGATGCCGGCTTCTCTGGTGATGCTGCTGGCTTGTCCATTTTAGGTTCCTTGGACTCAGAGTCGGAACTGTCAGGCGCGTTGGGATCAACAAAGATTTCTTCCCATTTGTCCGTTTCCTTGGGTGTGATTTTGGTGTGAGTCCAGCAATTGGCAATGGTTGAAGGCGTGACATGATTCCACGCATTCTCTAGCATTCGCATACCGCTGAGAATATCAATCTTGAAAGGCTGAGGATCATTGGACTGATAGAGATCAAGTGCTCGGATGGCCAATGCGCGGCAATAATGAGCTTTAAGACATCAAATAATTCCAGCATCTGTCAGGGGAACCCCCGTTTCGGACCGCTCTGCCTTTGATCAGGCATGTGATTGCGCTCGCGTGACCTGTCAGCTGTCACGTACCGCGGCCCGGACTGCCGCGCCGAGCGCTTCTCCTTGATGGGCACATGGCCAGGTGCCCCATTGTTCCTATTGTCCCCGCTCCCATTGTTCTGTCATGGCCGTTGTACTTATTGTCCCCATTGTTCTTTGTTTGTCGCTGCGTGCTCCATTGTTCTTGTATCATATAAATAGTGGCGCCTGGCAAGGAGAATCCCCAACACGGTTTCTCTTTGGATTCTCCCTTGCCAGGTATGCCGGTCTTGTACCTAGCTACCACTATTAATCACCTTTGGATTCTCCCTTGCCAGAACTCTGAGATCGGGTCTCAAGGTTGCCCTTACAGCAGAAACCGTGTTCCTAGGGATAACCGGACAAGATTGCGAGGTTCGACGCTGACGCCAGTGGAGAAGAGTCGACGAGCGACCAAGACCACCACTCCCTCACCTCCTATCTTGCCCCCTCCTCCCCTCCACGAGCAGACCCGATGAGCATGGATGACAACGAACAGCAGCGGCTGTCTGCTCTGGAGACCAGCATACAGAACATCGAGGCCGTACTCACCCGCCTCATCTCTCAACAACAACAACCCCCTGCCCCTGCCCCTGCTCCAGCTCCGGCAGCGGGTCCAGGTGTTCCTACTGGCGCCAGCCCTGCGCGCCCCCTTATCCGCCCGAATCCCCCCTTCTCCTTCGATGGGGATCGCACCCTGGGCAAGAGCTTCTTGCATTCAGTGAAGCAGTACTGGCGTCTGCTTCCTGAGGCGTTCTTCGTGAATGGGGCAGTCTCGGAAGAAAAGGTAGTCCGCTTCGCCCTGTCCTACATGTCCAAGGACTCCGCGGCCTCCTGGTCCGAGCGCATGTCCGAGCACACCCCATTCCCGTTCCCTACTTGGGCTCTCTTCGTCACTGAGTTCAAGCTCCGATTCGTCGAGGAGAACGAGCAAGACCATGCCCTGGCGCGACTGGAGACCCATCTGTATTATATGGGCTCCCGTGACGTGTTCAAGTACACGGACGAATACGACGACCTCCTTGATCTTGCCGGCTATACCGACGATCTGGTCAAGGTGACCAAATATAGGACGGGCCTGGATCCGAAGATCAACCAGGCTATCACCACCTCTGGCAACCCTCCCAGGCTTACTGACTACGCCGAGTGGCGTGTCCGTGCGTTCCGGCAGTACAATGCGGAACAAGCTGCCAAGGCGTCTCGAGGCCACGTCCCTCCCCCCCGAGCGCCTCCTATCGTCCCTCGTCCTCGTGCCCCGGTGCTCCCTGCTGTAGCACCGGCAATTGCTGCTCGCCCGGCGCCGGCTCCTGTTGCCCACCCCATCCCCATGGAGTTGGATCGGACCCGGCTCCGCGGTGACGTTCGCCGCACCTGCTTCCGCTGTGGCAGTCCGGGCCATCTTGCCCGTGACTGCCCCACCCCAGCTGATATTCGTCACACCGATGTCCTCGATGAGGTCATCAATCAGCTGGGGAGTGATCTGCTTTCCGAGTTGGTTGCTCGGGTCGCGACCACTGCAGCCGTTGCGGATCATGCGTCCAACGTCGCAGCCGAGGAGGAGCAGGGTTTTCTCCCCAGCGACGAGTGAGTAGTACGCCCTCGTTCGCTTCACGTAATCGTTTCTCCTGTTTGTATGATGAATCCAATTCCCTCCACTCTGCAACAGTTGAAGCGATAGACGTACACCCTGCTCCCCCTCTAATCCCACGAGTCCGTAAGGAGAAGTGGGAACGCAAGCTCCCTTCCTGCTATGTCGCTGCCGCCTCTCCCGGGGCCAATTCTCTCCACCTCCCCCTCGAGATCGAGTCCACCGACAACGCAGTGAAGTTATCTCTCAAAGGCCTGGTCGATTGTGGTGCCACATCCGACTTCATCGACTCGGCCTACATCCTCGAAAATCACCTCCCCGTTCGTCGCCTCACCCAGCCTATCCCCGTTTACAACGTGGACGGCACGCCGAACGAGGCCGGTTCCATTCGCGAAGTTGCTGATGTGGTTCTCCGTTACCAGGGCCACAGCGAACGCGTGCAGCTTGCTGTCACCCGTTTAGGCAAGCAGCAGCTCATTCTAGGGTACTCCTGGCTCCGGAAGCACAACCCGGAGATCAACTGGGATACCCAGGAGGTAAAGATGAGCCGTTGCCCTTCCGGTTGCTCCACCTGCCGGGAGGAACTTCGCGAAGAACGTCGATCTGCCAGAACCGCGGCCCGGGTGCTTCGCACCATCAGACAAGGTCCGGTTCCATCCATCTGCGCTGTCGACGTTGAGGACCACGAGGACGAAGAGATGCCGGAGCTTTCGCCAGATTCGGACGATTATGACCCTGAAGATGTCGAAGAAGATGACGACTCCTTGGAAGCCGGTGACCGTATCTTTTACACCCGCTTCAACCCTTCTGAAAACATCCGAGCCACCAGCACCGTCTCTCAGCGACTCGCCGAGGCGTTTGCTAAGAACTCTGCACCTCCTCGGGATACCATCCCCGAGTGGGCCCGCGAGTTCGAAGATGTTTTCAGCAAGGAGTCCTTCGACAACCTGCCAGAGCGACGCCCCTGGGACCACGCCATCGAACTGGTTCCCGATGCGAAGCCGACCAACTGTAAGGTCTACCCCATCTCCCCTCTCGAACAGAAGCAGCTCGACAGCTTCATTGAGGAGGGCATGGCTACTGGCAGGATTCGGCCGTCAAAATCGCCCATGGCGTCTCCCGTCTTCTTTGTGAAGAAGAAAGACGGCAGCTTACGGTTTGTCCAAGATTACCGAGCACTAAACGCGATGACAGTGAAGAACCGCTACCCGCTCCCCCTGATCAATGATCTCATCAACAAGCTCAAGGGAGCTCGGTTCTTCACCAAACTCGACGTTCGCTGGGGCTTCAACAACGTGCGCATTCGTCAAGGCGACGAGTGGAAGGCAGCGTTTCGGACAAACCGCGGGCTCTTTGAGCCGTTGGTGATGTATTTCGGCCTGACCAATTCCCCCGCAACGTTCCAGACGATGATGAATGACATACTTCAGGACCTCATCCTCTCTGGTGACGTTATGGTGTACCTCGACGACATTCTCATCGCACATTCCGATATCCACCGTCACCGGGAAATCATGAACGAAGTCCTCCGACGTCTCCGCGAGAACAAGCTCTACCTTCGCGCGGAGAAATGCGAGTTCGAGATGCCGTCAATCGAATACCTCGGGGTGATCATTTCCCACAACCATGTGGAGATGGACCCGGTCAAGGTCGCAGGTGTGGCGGAGTGGCCAGCTCCGGCTAACAAGAAGGAAGTGCAGCAGTTCCTCGGCTTCACTAACTTCTACCGGAGGTTCATCCGGGATTTTTCGCACGTTGCCCGTCCTCTCTTTGACCTCACCAAGAAGGACGTGGCATGGACTTGGGGCGCCAACGAGGCAGCTGCGTTTCTTGCGCTGAAGAACGCTGTTACCTCTACCCCAGTCCTGCAGCTCCCGGATGCTTCCAGGTCTTACCGCCTCGAAGCAGACAGTTCGGACTTTGCGACCGGTGCTGTCATCTCGCAGCAGTCCCCCGTGGATGACAAGTGGCATCCGGTTGCCTTCTTCTCGAAGAGTCTTAACGAGGTCCAGCGGAACTACGAAATCCACGACAAGGAGATGCTCGCCATCGTCCGCGCCTTGGAGGAGTGGCGACACTTCCTCAAAGGCGCCGAGCACCCCGTTGAGATCTGGACCGACCACAAAAATCTGGAGTACTTCCGGAAAGCCCAGAATCTCAACCGTCGTCAAGCCCGCTGGTCCCTCTATCTGTCTCGCTTCGACTTCACCCTGCACCACCAACCTGGCCGCCTCATGGGCCGCCCGGACGCTCTCTCGCGCCGCCCCGACCACGGAGTCGCTTCGGACAACGCAGACGTCACGCTGCTGTGCCCGGAGCTGTTCCATGTCTGGGCCTTGGAGGGTCTCACTGTCTCTGGACCCGAAGCCCCTCTCCTGCACGACATCCGGGAGGCCCTCGCCGGTACCCCCGACATGGAGGAGCCCATCGTGTTGGCAGCACGTGAGCTCCTCAAGGAACGCGGAGTTCGCTCTGCTCGGGCTGCGGAGTGGCGAAAAGAAGGCGGCCTGCTCTACTTCCGTGGCAAGCTGGTGGTTCCACGCAACAACGACCTCCGCCGACGCATCCTCGAGCAGCACCACGACACCCGCGTCGCAGGGCATGCCGGCCGCTTCAAGACGTTAGAGCTGATCTCTCGGAACTACTGGTGGCCCCAGTTGTCTCGACACGTCGGCCGGTATGTGGCCACCTGCGACCTGTGCTGTCGAACCAAGGCGCTCCGCCAACTCCCAATCGGGGAACTCCATCCCACGGAGGTCCCTTCGGAGCGCTGGGAAGCGGTGTCAGTTGACTTCATTGTGCATCTGCCAGACGCTCACGGGTATGATGCTATCATGGTCGTTGTTGACATGCTTGGGAAGCGCAGCCACTTTATAGAGTGCCACACCCGGCTCTCTGGTGAAGGTGCCGCCAGGCTTTTCTACAAGAACGTCTGGCGCCACCATGGGCTGCCGTCTAAGTATGTCTCTGACCGTGGCTCCCAGTTCATAGCAGAGTTCACGCAGGAGCTGTGGAAACTGGTCGGGGTCTCATCGGCAATGTCTACGGCTTGGCATCCACAGACGGACGGCCAGACCGAGCGTGTGAACCAGGAGCTCGAGCAGTTCCTCCGGATCTTCACCAGCTACAACCAGGACGACTGGGACGAGCTGCTTCCCGCTGCCGAGTTTGCCTATAACAACCATATTCACTCATCCACGCAGCAGGTCCCGTTCATGACCAACACCGGTCGACTCCCTCGCATGGGCTTCGAGCCGAATGGACCACGCTCAACTGTGAACGAGTCGGCAAACGACTTCCGCGACCGCATCGCATCTGGAGTCGCAGAGGCCAAGTCGGCACTGGTGAAGGCAAAGGATGAGTACAAGCAGTACTACGACCGCCGGAGGGTCTCGGCTCCAGACATCAAGGTCGGAGATCGAGTCTGGCTTGACGCTTCTGACATAGCAACAACGCGCCCGTCCCTCAAACTCTCTCACCGACGGCTGGGTCCCTTCAAAGTCACCCAGGTTGTTGGGCGCGGCGCTTACAAGCTTGACCTCCCTCGCCGCCTCTCTGGTCTTCACCCGGTCTTCCCCGTCGTCAAGCTGCAGCTCGTTGAGGACGACCCGTTCCCAACACGCCCGGCTCGCGAGGAGCCGCTGATAGGCTGGCTACCAGACGCGCTCTGCACCAGCTCTGTAAGGGCGTATTTTTGCGCTTTTTACAGAGTTTACTCTTGAACCATTCGGTGTATCGTGTCGCGGGTGACAGTGTTGCGCTCAGTAGGACTTATGGGTCTACTGCCCAGTCGACGACTGTGGATAGTGTCGACGATAGCAAGGCAGTCAGGCCACTACTGTGGAACTGGTCTTATGAGTCTACGCCAGGCTCAGGGCCATTAGTGACGAACGCTTGGACCGCGACCATTCCCCAGGAAGGGATCTGTCGTTGCGTCGACTTCTCGAAAAGGGTCATTCTCTGCAGATGGGAACTTGGGCTGAAGGGCTGAGCAATGCGCGACGTTCTCAATAATAGAACTACTACTGGACAGGACTTGGCGTTACGAGACTTAAACCATCTTGTCGCGGCAACTCCCGGTTTGGAGTTGGACGTTTCCTCAGATCATGCCACGACGACGACTTGTCACATGTCAGGATCCATTCGATCACGGGACATTGTGGACGCGTCGCGGTGACACTCCCAAGTGTCACGGCGAGTCGCGTCCATACCCAAACACACTAGAAACCGACACGGCTAGATCCGTGAACCGAACCATGTGGGGGACGACTGGTGTGCCTAGGGCCATACGGCTTCTTGGGGCGCCCACGTTGGTCTCACTTGCCAAGACATACCCGTTGGCCAATCCAGCACGTCGTATTCCAAAAGTATGACGCGGTGGGTTGACCCACATCAAAAGTATCATATGGACAATAGGGCGGGGTCCTGATCACTCAGGTCCTGTCCGATCGTTCAACTTTTCAATTACCCTAAAAGGCAACCGATCTTAGATAGCGTAGCTACTATGCAGTTGTACAGGACTTTACTAAGCAGCGTCGTAGACAGTATAAGTAGCACGTCGTCTCTTTGTATTAGAAAGCTTTCCCCCGGACTGTGAATCACTCTCATATCAGATTGTTTTGTACAATTTGCGTGCCGCGTGGTTCCACCCTAAGAAGTTCTGCTACCCCTGCCCGGTCGCGACGAGTTGCTCCCTGAGCACTTGAAGCTACTGTGATTTGAGTTTGAGTTTTGAGACATCAGAAAGTCGGATTCGCCGCATCTGGTTTGGTCGCGGCATTTAGTGTCGTCGCCTTTGGGCTTTGTTGAGATCGTTCCACACCTCTAGCTTGGCAGTGCGTCGACTAGTTGTGCTCGGGTTGTTTTGGTCAGTTGGCAGTGCGTCGACTTGAGAACTTTGGTTCCACACTTCTTGCTTGGCAGTGCGTCGACAAGTTGTGCTCGGGTTTTGGACATTGGATATTGGCTGTTAGTTGGCAGTGCGTCGACGCGGCATTTTGGTTCTACTAGTTGGCAGTGCGTCGACTCAGTACTTTGGGTTGTGTCAGTTGGCAGTGCGTCGACTTGGCATTTTGGTTCTACTAGTTGGCAGTGCGTCGACTCAGTACTTTTGGTTGTGTCAGTTGGCGGTGCGTCGACTTGATATTTGGGTTTTGCGTCGCCATCTGGACGCTGTCGCTACAAGGGATCTTAATACTTCGTATTAAGCTCTGACTTGTTATATTGTTGTTTGTGGATTGGATTAGTGTTGGTTGTGTTCGTATAGAAGATATTGGTTGAGATACCATTGTTTGCTATATATAAATTCTTGTCGTCGACTTCGTCTCCGCGACTATTGGATCTGCGTCTATTGAGAGTTGTGATACTGGTGCTCTGTCCACCCCGAAGCCCTCGCATCTTTCACACACTGAGAAGCTGATTACGAGGAGTGTGAACGTGTTTTATATTTGGGTTTACTTTCATAGTAGATTCACTTGTGAGCGCGCCCTCAGCATTTCATCTGGAGCCCACCGCGAGGGGCTTCTAAAGTTTCATAAACTTTAAAAATCAATAAACCGGGTTCTTTACCGCGACGTCGGATAGAGACCAAGGGTTTATCCCGCGAAGCAGTTTATTTCGATCCCAAGCTCCTGCGCGACCCCTCGAGGACCAAGCGGAGATTGAGACTGAAGGAAACGCTTCAACTTCAGGACCTTTCGAAAAACCACGAAGGTCTGCAAGACATAAAACACCTTTGTATCTACCACCCTTGCCTTCCAAGGCAAAAGGAAAACAAAGAGTGAATTCGACGTCGAAGCTTCTAGCTTTAGGCACAGCTACTTCGAGTTCGACGACAATCAGTCGATCTCAGACTAGCTCACAAACCCTCTCAGAATTGTCTAGTAGCGTCACCGCTACAAACACGAATTCTAACAACATCCCTACTTCCCCTGTGACTTCAGTCGCGACAACTATGGCTCCAAAGACTGGGTTCAAAATCCCTCAACCTTGGGACACAAGTAGACCTATACTTGATGAAAAGGATCCCCTGTCGATTGAGGCATATTTGCGTCACTGCGCGCAGATCGTGGAGGATGGTGGCATCACAGATGTCAAACAGGCAAAAAGCATGTACATCCGTTATTTGCCGTCGCGGCAAGTGATGGACGTATGGGAAGGTCTCGATACCTATTCCGACGACACGAAAACTGTCGCGGAATTCGAGGCCGAAATATTAAAAGGATACCCTGAGGTGTCCAAGCGAAAAACGGGGACCATGGCAGATCTAGACAGGCTCTGTCGCGAGAACCGTGGAATCAAAATCACGGATGAGGGAGATTTGAAGCGTTTCGGCCTTCAAATGTACAGTCACTATAAGCGACTGTCAGTCCCTCCTGCCATTATTACCAACAAAGTCGCGTGTGAACGCTACATGCGTACTTTGGACTCCGAGTTCAGTACCGTCTTGCGAAATGCTTTGGCTACGAGTCAAGTATTCAACAAGCGCTACCAAACTCGCGCCGGGATAGCAAACGCTAATGTCCCCGCGACTGGAGTCAATCGGCAGGACGACCCCATCCAGCTGAAAGAATTGATGACAATGGCGGAAGAAATGGCGTCGACGTTGAGTAACGAAGACGAAATTCCCGTAATCGCGCGACCTCCTAAGGTTCGCTTCGACTATGAGACTAGTCCACCCAACCATGCTAAGGTTGAGGAGTTGGAAAACTCGATTTCCAACTTGAAGGATTCATTTCTTCTACACCAAAAAGAGCTACAGACTCAGTTGCAGGAAGCGTTGAAGACGTTCGTACAGACTGCTCGAGAAGCGCCCATTCAGCGGTCGCGGCCAGTAGGCAACAACTCTTCTGTGCCCCACTTCGAAAGTCGCGCACAAGGAGGGCTGCCGCACGGAACGACGACTGTCGCTACTGTGGACAAACTGGTCATTGGTCGAACGAGTGCCCACTCAAGAGGTCTCACATTGAGAAAAACCTTCTCAAAGTCGACACCAAAGGGATGTGGAGGCTCTTCGACGACAGCTTCTTGCCAAATGGAGAAGGGACTCAGGGACAACGAGTAGAGGCTTATTGGAAGAAGAAGGGCAAGTCCGTCAACTTCCAAGACTCTTACTACTTGGATCAGTTCGATAGCCGCGACAATGATGATATGTCCGACTACCCTGAAGAAGTGGCAGACGAGATACGCTCCCTTCGAAGTCAACTCATCCAATATGAGAGGAAGTCGTCGCGGCCAACCCCAGAGAGTCGCGCGGAGTCAAAGACTCAAAGAACTGCATCTGGTTCGACCAGCAATGCAATGGAAAGTGCCATGGGCCAATTCATGCAGAAAGCCATGACCGACGCCATGGCCGGCTACTTCAACAACATGAACAGTGGTTATCCTCAGACTCAGGAACAGTTCATTCAAACCCGTCGTGGTGCGAATAGCCAACCTGAGCGCGACAATAACAACTCGGGTTTCTAAATGGTTCAAGGAAGGGGGCTAAACCCACAAACTCAGCCAAGCCCTCTGAGGACCATGATAAACGAGCTGAGCGACGAGAGAAACCGAGGAAACCTGTGATTATTGAAGAAGTTAGTGATAGCGACGATGATGAGGAATCAGTGCGCGACAACACCGAAAAGAGAAAGGAACTACCGTTTGAGAAAGTCAAGCCCGTTCTACAAGAACCAGTACATTCTTCAAAAGCGCGCGTTCCAGATAAATACCAGTTGCGTGCACCGATTCAAACGAAGGCTGTAGCAGAAGCAGTCTACGACAAAATGAAAAACGCGTCAGTCGACGTCACTGTGGGTGAACTCCTAGCAGTTTCGGGAACTGTCCGCGACTCCATTCTGAAGGACTCTTCGAAGAAACGAGTACCGGTTCAGAAGTCCATGCTTCAAGAAACTGGTCGCGTCGTTGAAGACGTTTGGGATGGAGAACTGAGCTACAACCTAGTCAGTGCTAAGGAATTGCCCGAGCCTGTGTTCTATCATAACACAGTTGAAGGAGAAATTCCCATTGGCGCAGTTGTCGCGACGGACCCATATGAGATGTACTTGGAGTCGATACCCTCTAATGAGAACCCAAGGCATGTCTATGTTGGTGATTCGTCGGCTGCTCTCAGAACGATAAACGGACGGATTAACGCGCGTCTCGACGCGGACTGCATCCTAGACAGTGGATCTCAGATTGTATCGATGGCTTTCTCAGAAGCCGTCGACGCACAATTAAGCTGGGACCCAAAAGTCGTCATCTATATGGAAAGCGCAAATGGATCTATCTCTAAGTCGCTGGGATTAGCAAGAAATGTACCCTTCAGGTTTGGGACCATCCTGGTCTACCTGCAGGTGCACATTTTGGAAAGTCCAGCTTATAAGGTGTTGCTCGGCAGACCGTTTGATATCGCGACTGAAAGCAATATCAAGAACGCGGCCGACGGCAGCCAGATAATCACCATGCGCGATCCCAATTTAAAGACACGTTGTGCAATGGCTACGCAGCCGCGTCGTGCAGACGACTTGCCGCGTAACACTAAAAACAACAACGGATCTACCGAGCCCTACAGTTCGTCGAAACCGACGACCAGTCCAGACGAACCGAACCCTGAACGGGATTTTCAAAGAGCTTCGAGGAATTGACCAGGTTGAGTCAAGGAGAAGAAGTCGCGGTGACTGTGTCGTTGGGAAAGAATGGGAATGTAGTGTTCGAGGATCTAAGAAAGCCGCGTTCTAGTGGCCAGTTTACCCAAACTGAGCTAGTAGAAGCATATATCTTGTCGTCGAAAGAGGACAAGGAAATGAAGAAAGATGTCGCTGCGTCGACTTTGTTTCATTCATATATGAATGAAAGACTTTCAGACGCGGCAACAGAAAAACTGACTGTTGGTACTTGGAGTGTACTAGACGACGACTCTTCTAGTCGCGACAAATACTCTGTGTTCGCAGGAAAGAAATACAAACCTGTGGACCAGAAAGTCAGACCAGTGTACACTATGGGTTCTGAGGACGATCGAATAATTCGAGAAATGGTGGGAGATCCTTTGGATACGCTGCCTACTCTAAACCCGCGACCACCTGATTTTACCCCAACGGGTAGATTCACGGCGGAACGCAGGGAGATTGTGGATAAGCTACACAAGGGAGACTTCTTATTACCAGAAGAACGGAAGTTGCTCATGCACTTCTACATGCTTCATAATCAGAGTTTCGCGTTCAATGATGAAGAACGTGGCGCATTGAGACAGGATATATTCCCTCCTGTCAAGATCGCGACAGTTCCCCATACAGCATATCGCGAAGGGAATATTCCTATACCTCGCGGCATGTTCGATCAAGTGTGCAAGGTCATCAAAGACAAAATCGCGGCCCAGGTCTACGAACCTTCCAATTCCTCTTATCGGAGCAAGTTCTTCGCTGTACTTAAGAAGGATGGGAAGAGTATCAGACTGGTGCACTCGCTAGAACCACTCAATGCAATTACTATCGCGCATTCAGGATTGCCGCCCGCGACAGAGGAGTTAGCAAACCACTTCGCCGGTCGCGCCTGTGGTGCTGCGCTAGATTTGTACTCAGGCTACGACCAGCGTGACATCGATCCAGCTAGTCGCGACTTGACCACATTCCAGTCACCGTTTGGTGCGCTGAGGTTGGTCAAACTCCCACAAGGGTGGACCAACTCAGTACCAATATTCCATGAGGACGTTACTTTCATTTTGAAAGACGAAATCCCTCATGTTACTATTCCATATATCGACGACGTACCCGTTCGAGGACCAGGAACCAGGTATCTGTTACCCGATGGAACCTGTGAAACGATTCCAGAAAATCCCGGGATCCGTCGCTTCGTATGGGAACACTTTCAGAATGTGAACCGCGTCGTGCACAGAATCGGCTACTGTGGCGCGACTCTGTCTGGTACCAAGTCGGTGGTTTGCGCCGACGAGTTCGCTGTGGTTGGCCATATCTGTTCGTTTGAAGGTAGAAAACCTGACGCGGACAGAGTTGGTGTAATCATGCGTTGGCCAGACTTGAGAGACGTCTCGGAAGTTCGACAGTTCATGGGCACGATTGGGGTCATGCGGATGTTCATTAGAGGATTTTCTGAAATGGCGCGACCAATTCAGAGACTGGTGAACAAAAACGCGCATTTTGAATGGGGTGACAAACAGAAGCTCGCATTTCAAAGACTTAAAGACGCGATACAAGTCTGTCCGTCGCTTAAGCCTCTGAACTACGAGTGGGACTCTGAGATTGTCGTCGCAATAGACACATCCTGGATGGCCGCGGGTTTTGAAATTTACCAGCGCGACCCAGATGATCCAAAGAAAGTCTATTACGCGAAATTTGGGAGTATCCCACTTACAGAACGAGAAGCTAGGTTTTCTCAACCGAAGCGTGAACTTTATGGTGTGAAGCGCGTGCTTCAAGCCATGGCTCACTGGCTTCTTGGTTGTAGGAAATTGGTAGTCGAAACCGACGCGCTGTACTTGGCAGGCATGCTAAGAAACGTTGGTAACCTACCAAATGCAAATATCAACCGTTGGGCTGAAGAGATCCTCATGTTTCAATTTACCTTGAAACATGTCAGAGGAATCACCTTCTCACCAGATGGCTTGTCGCGACGACGACCTGCGCCTGGAGATGAAGAGTATCCCAATGACGAAGAGGAAATCTTCGACGAGCCACCACCAGAGAACAACGAGAATTGGGACTACGACACGGAGCAACCATTAGACTTTGAAGAGTTCAAAAGGGACATTGACACCAGAGGTGGCTACCTTAACTCTATGGTCGGGTGTGCTGAGTCGGTCGACGACATATGCAAAGAGCTAGTCGAAGCTTGCGACTCTCGTCGCGCTGAGAATCGGCGTGTCAAAGACGCATATGACGCTCAAGGGCTCGTCGTCCCAGTCTTCATGTTGAACGATGTGGCAAACGGAGAACCACTTTTGCCTGATCTTGAACTGCGCGACAATCCTGAGGATCCCTACATTGAGGATCACCGGACGGGCACAGGGATTGAACAAGACAATAAGTTGGTAATGGCTAGGAAGTGGTTGAAAGACACTTCCATAAGGCCTGAAATGACAGACAAACGGTTCAGATCGTTTCTCAAATTCTCGCGACAGTTTTTCCTCAAAGATGGAAAAATGTACAAGAGATCGACCAATGGGATTCATAGACTGGTCGTGGACAAGCACCACAGGACTTATATGATGAAGGCGTGTCACGACGCGCTGGGTCATAAGGGTCTTTTCAGCACTAAGAGCCTGTTGGAAACTCGGTTTTGGTGGCCAGAGATGGAAAGAGACGTCGACTGGTGGATAAAGACTTGTCATAGCTGCCAAGTCCGCCAGAAAACTCTCCTCCGCACTCCACCGACGCCGACGATGACTCCAAGTGTATTTCAGAAGATACATACGGACGTCATGATTATGGGAACGCCTTCCAACGGATACAGATATGTCGTCGCAGCAAGGGATTCTTTGACCCGCTACGTGGAAGCGCGACCGCTACAGGCTGACAACGCCAAGGCAATAGCGCGTTTCTTGCTCGAGGACATAGTGTGTCGCTGGGGGTGTCCTAAGTGGATTGTAACCGACAACGCAGGACAATTTGTCGCGGCGTTGAATTGGTTACAAAAGAAATATGGTATCAAGGGAATAAGGATATCTCCTTACAATTCCCAAGCGAATGGCACTGTTGAAAGAGGTCACTGGGACATTCGACAGTCACTGTACAAAGCTACTGGGGGAAACGCCTCCAAATGGTTTTGGTTCTTCCCACAAGTCTTGTGGGCAGATAGAATTACAGTGCGTCGCGGGCTGGGTTGTTCACCATACTTCGCAGTATGTGGGGCCCACCCTACCATCCCTCTGGATATAGTCGAAGCTACGTGGCTAGTCGAATATCCTGACCGGATCGTCGACTCTGCGGATCTCATTGGTCTCAGGGCACGCGCTCTAGCGAAACACGCCGACCATATTGAAGATATGCGCAGCCGCGTCAGCGACGCCAAACTAAAGATGGTTCAACGCTACGAACTCGAGTACAAGCATGTGATCAAAGATTACAAGTTTGTACCAGGGGACTTAGTGTTGGTCAGGAACACAGCTATTGAAAAATCATTGGACAACAAGATGAAAGCTAGATATCTTGGGCCCATGATTGTAGTTCGAAAGACCAAAGGAGGTTCTTACTTAGTCTGTGAAATGAACGGCGCGATGTTCCATGCGAAAGTCGCGGCGTTCCGAGTAATACCCTATTTGGCAAGACAGAAATTGACACTCTCTGAAGATATAAAGAAGCTGATAGATATTTCGCCTGCTAAACTCGATGAGTTGGTGGAGGAAATATCTGACGTCCGCGACTACCAGTTCGAAGGGGTGAAACTCAAGAACTCGGATAGTGACGACGACGACGATCCTGTAGAGGATCCAGCTTCTGTCGAGTGAAAGTCTGGCGCGCAAATAATTGTCGCGGCAGGCTCTCGCACGACAAGACGTCGCTTCTCTCAGTTTTAGACAGAATTCAGTATATTGCTTGGGTGCTAGCTGGTACCTAAGGACTATACTGGGTTGTATCTAAAAGAAAAAGGTCATAAAGGAGGTGCGCGAGAAGAAGAGACGCGACTTCATAAATAAGTAACATGAGAGAAGAGAGACATATGGAAGGAGAGTGCATATAGAACAAAATATGAAAAGATTAGGCCGCATTCTTCGACATCGAGAGGTCAATGGCTTCCTTGACGTCCTTGAGCGCGGTCTTCCATTCCTCTAGCCGCGACGAGACGTAGTCGCGTTCCTCGATGAGGAGCTCGAGTGGAATGGACCGCCGCAACCGGTACAATTGATGTCGATGCACTCGGTCCGCAATAAACCTTCGGTCGGACGCGGACGCTGCCAATTGGTTAGCAAAGTGTCGCGACAGGAGAGGGAACTGCGAGACTCACCCGGGGCCGCATCAGTGGTACTGTTGCTGAGTCGCTGCCTCTTCGAGCCGGTGACAACGAACGATGGCTGGGTAATTGGTCAGAAATGTAGTCGCCGCGACTGAGTGAAACTCACGTCTGGAAACTCTGGAGACAGCTCCCTAGAGCCTCCATCTGCTCCGCGTGAAGTTTCGACATTTTGGCGCTGAGAAGACGCATCGACCTATCGTGCTCGTCTATGAGTCGAATGATAGTCCCATAGACGTCCGCGAGCCCTACGGAGTCGTCATGACCAGATCCGT